TCCTAATAATTCGGTTCTGTAGTTGTTCTTCACAATCTAGAGGTACTCATTCAGTCACAATAAATGGGCTTTTTCTCATCTACTAGCTCTTGCAAACGTAATGTGGGGCAAGTAGAGCTATTGGATATAGGAAAGTTGTAGCCTAAATGTATTAGACTAAGATTTATTCTGTGTTAATGTGTTACTGAGTTGTGATGCATGGTTAGACCCTGCTACTCTGATGCTGTACAAGTAGAAGCGCTTTGGTGAGCTGTCTCAGAACAGTTGTAAGATTACAATACTGATGTGCATGACAACTGAACAGCTGGCATCTGTAACTGTCCATCATGTACTTTGCCAACTGTGAAAACCTCTTGAAGCCTAACAATTGGGAACAAATAGAACAATTCCATTTGAGGAAGATTCTGGTGGTCTTTATACCTGTAATTCTTTTGCATTTATATGCATCGCATTTCCTCCCTTCTTTCAACAGTTCAACTTCATTTAAGAAGTATTGTAGTCATTTTCTGCTAATCACCAGTTCCTTTGGAACAAGTAAAACAGTGCTAACAGAGCAATAGAACCAGTAAGTGAGCTAAGGATGACTCCTATGAGCTATGATGTCAAAGATGATCATAAAGCAAAGCCAGTAAGGTCAGAATGACATAAAAAATATAAATATTTATATACACGTACAGTGAAACTTACTGAAAGCCTGGAGGACATTGCTGACAGAACTACTTCAATGAAATAAAAATCTATGTTGCAACTATTGACAATGCTTCTTTCATAACAAATTTCATTCCTCCTCTTCCATATATCAGTTTAATATTATTTGTGAAGTCCTGTTTCTTTTCTGCTTGCTTAGCTGGTCCATGACTAAATCCTTTTAGGGTGGTAGTTGTGAGTTGTTGCAGCTTTACACAGAATAGAGACTAAATTAACTCATACATGCATGTGAATTTGCAGCTTTCCAGTTTGGCAGGAGACGTGGTGTGCTCCGGAAGAAAAGTCATGAGAATTAGTGTTGTGGTTCCAGCTCTGCTGCATGTAATCCTAGTGCAAGATTGTGGGGTCCCTTCAGTTCTTTCCCCTTCTTATTGTGGATGCTGTCAGTTACAGGAGTGGATACAAAAGAATATTTGATTCTCATTTAGCCTGTTCAGGTTTACTTACAGCCAAACAATTGGCTGTTGCCGTCACTGGTGCACACAGTCTGCTTGTCTCAAAGGTTCTCGAAGTACGTGTTTCATAGTATTTCTGTTAATAAACTAGAAAAATGTGATCTCTAAATCTGGGAGAGAAAAGTAATTTCCCTTATTCTGAAAAGAATGAAATGCTTTATTCTGGTGCCTGCTAAGAGGCAGGGGAACAAAAGCTTATATAGTAGAAGCTTGAGAAGACAAATTGGAGTAATACAGGGAGACTTTTCCTTGTTTATTGTATTCTCTAGCTTGGTGTTTGGCCTTGTTGAATCTGCTGGAGTTGTTTGGGTGAGTTTGGTAGCCTTCGCTGCTTGTTCCCATGTGCTTGTAGCCTTTCTCACCCTTTCAGATAGCTTTCAGTGCTATCTGGGGTTGCAAGAAAGGCTGGATTGAGAGAGAAGTGACGATATTTTCTCTTGGCTGAGAAATTTACATGGTGACTGGTTAATCCAGGGTTGGAGTTTAGCCTGTGTTTACAGAGATTTACTGAGAACAGCTAAAAGGGAGTAAAATATTTACCCGAGTTGCAAGTGGGTTTTGTCCTCCTTATTTGTCTGTTTGTGTTTTTTACTGGTCATGTAATACCTGCTTCAAAGTTGGTAAACTCCCTGTAAGAGGACACTGTTAGGTAGGTCGTGACAGACTTTTTTTTCTATTATGCCTGCTAGCCAGACAAATAAATTGTGTGAGTTCAACTTACGTTTATTGATATTTTTAAAATAATTCCAATTTGCAACTTAGAGTGTATACTGACTGTAAAATGTCATACCTAGTGGCATGGTAGATATGCTCTTACTGTCTCAGAATGGGGCTTTTCTACATTTGGTTGCTTTGAGAGCTTTTAACTTTCATATGGTTTTAGTTCAGTGGGAAGGAGGTATTTATCAGGGAAAAAATTGCTGAAAGGTGTACCAGATTCCTGTATCTTCCCCCTAAAAGTGTATCTATTTTCTGTAGCACTGCTTGT